TCCCACAACTCATCTGGCTTTCGTTCATTAGTGTTCAAAGTTAAGATTAATTTTACTGTAAAATCCATTGACAAATGGAAAGTACTCTATAATTACAAGTCATTAGTCCTTATTTTTAAGATTTTAGGGATGGCAATATCAGTATATAACTTCCAGGTTAAAGGATGCCCCAAAGTGGCGTGCTGGGGTCCAGGAACGGCTCTTTGTTGTTTTGGGTTTCCCGGCTTCTCTGGGGCTTCCCTAATTCACGTCTTCCCTGTGAGTTGCTGCCTGGTAAAGAAGATGCCCCAAAGTAACCAGAAAGCCAACTATCAACATCAAATTAAAAATATTCTTTTTTACAATTCATATTTTGTATCCATAGTAAAACATGCATGTTGTCACTTTTGAGTCCTACAAGGAAAGCTTTTCAATACTCACTTTGAGGGGTGGAGTTTGGAATTGAGGTGTTCACATCTACAGGGGTTATTGAAGATGTAGTCTGAGATCCTATTTTGGAAAAAAAAATATTCCAGAATGTTACAGACGTCTACATCTATTTCCTTAACTATACTACTACTGGATTTCATAAGAGTATCATGTATTATAATGGAAAGACTCTTAGTAGCTTTTAAATTGACACAAAGGAAGCATATACCTATGATTGCCTGCAAATATTCAATAGTATTTCTTTTATTTTTACTTTTAATAGTATATTATTTCAATGTCTACATTCTAAATATAGTTTTTGGTTTTTACTATTTGTTAGAAGTGAAGCCAGTGTGACCTTAGAGGCAAGGATGGTGAGACTCTGTTTCAAGTATTTGGGGCATGTAGTCAGAAAGACTTGGAAAAGGACATCATGCTGGGAAAGGGGGAACATGATAGGAGAAGGTGTCCTTCAAGGAGACAGATCAGTTCCACAGTTATTGTAACAGTGGACTACAGCACAGAGTAAATTGTGAGGGTGGTTAGGAAGAAAGACCTAGAGGTCTACCACTTTTAAAAGTCAGTCTGTGAAAGTCTGTGGATCACAACAGTCTGCTTCTGTTGAGCGTAGGGTTGCAATTATTTAATTAGTGAAACAATTCAGGGCAGCTAACAGCAATAAGAGATAAATCTGTGTGTGATGCAAAGACTTAACATGCTCAACTGTTAGTCAAAGAGTATGAGGTTCAAGTTCACCCAATGATATCTTAGAGGAAAGATCTGGTGTTCTGCGTTAGAAAATAATCAAAGGGAGCTCTGGTGGCCTAGTAGCAAAAAGCTTCAATGCAATTGCAAAGGTGCACAGTTTGTATCCACCAAATGCTGGGCTGGAGAAGGATGGGCAATCTCTTCCTGGGCCAGTTGAATCTGATTTGATGATACACAAGGAAACAAAAAATTCAGCTGTTGAAAATGCTGTGCAAGTAGAATTTTATCCTCACACACACAGATGTCCAGGAGTTTGAATCAATTTAGTGACAGCTGGTATTAGTAGCAACAAGTGATCTGAATTTTCTGAAGAGTTATACAATATCCCCATTCACTTTAATCTTTCTAGAAGGAGATTGACACAAAATACACAATTCCTCCTTGTCCAGATTGGATAAAAAACACATTCCATACAAAGGTTTATTTTATGAGAGGTTAGTATTACCATTCTGGCTTTTCTTGTGTATGCCATTTTCCCCCTCAGTGTTTGATTTTTAGTTTGTCTTTCTCCCTCTTTTCTTAGATGTGTCTCTTATAGGCAACATCTTGACCTTTTTTTTTTTGTTGTTTGTTTTTTAAATCTATTCTGCAACTCTCTTTCTCTTAATTTGGTGTATTCAAGCCACTCACATTAAGTGTGAATATTGACAAGCCAGATTTTAGCACTGCCATTTTGCTTTGTCTCTATTTCAGTTGTTTCTGGTTACTGTGGTCCATCCATTTTACTTTAGCATCTCTGTGTGAAAGACTTCCCTTAGCATTTCTTGTAGAGTTGGTCTTGTTTTAACGAATTACTAAGATCCTGCTTTTCAGCAAATTCATATTTGATGTACAACTTTACCGGATATAGGATCTGAATCTGCGGTTATTAATTATTTTCTTTCAGACTTCTGTATATGCCTTCCCCTTGTCTTCTTGATCACACAGTTTGAGAAATCAGAACTTGATCTAGTTGGTTTTCCATTGTAGATGACTCTTGTTTTTTTGTGTGCTGCTTTTAGTATTCCATCCTTATCTTTGATTTTGGAGAATTTGGTTATAGTATGTTTTGATGTTTTTCTTTTGGGCTCTAGTCTGTGTGGGCTTCTCTGAGCTTCATTCTTCCTGAGACTAGGAAGTTTTCTTCTAGTATCTCTACCATAATTGTCTCAGTTTTTTCTCCCTTGTGATCTGGAATTCCAGTCATACATATGTTGTTCCTTTTGATGTTATTCCACATAATTCTAATAGTGTTTTCTTCATTTTCTCTCTTTTTTCTTTCCTCACTTCCCATTAAGATTCCTATCTTCCAGGCTCCCTAACTCTCTGTTCCATCTCTTTTGTTCTACATTTTTGTCCCTCCAGCATGCTGGAAACATTTGTTATTTTTATTTTGATACTCTGGATTGTTTTTTCATGTGTTTCCATTGTTTCCAGTACTGTATTATCTGTACTTTACCTGTCTTGTGATAATTTTCTAATGTCTTACACCTATAATTTCAATTCTTTTTTCCAACTTTTGCAATTTCTTATCAACAGCTACAGAAGAAGGTGCAAATAATGAAAGAAAAGTTGGAAGCCATAAACAGAGTAAATACTCTAGACAGGAGCCACAAGAAATATATAGGCATGGAGGAATATGAACAACTATAGAAGAAATTGTAAATTCTATGTTCTCTTGGCAGTCTCCAGCATCACAACTCAAAGACATTGATTCTTCTCCTGTCATTCTTATTCACTGTCCAGTTCTGAGATGCATAATAAGCAATTGAGAAGACTATGGCTTGAATCAGGCACCCACACCTTAATCTCTAGACTTGCGTCTTTGCTCTTTAGCACACGGAAGAGGTCTTTGACAGCAGATTTTTCCAATACAACTCGTCTTTTGATTTCCTGACTGCTGGTGTCAAGGGTATTGATTAGACCTAAGCAAGATAAAATTATTAATAACTTCAATTTTTCTTCATCTATTATGATGTTGCCTATTGGCAGTCTCCAGAGCAGAGCAAGGAGACACTGCTTGTTTCAAAATCAGGATGGGTGTACATTAGGGATGTATTCTGTCTCCATACCTTTTCAATCTATATGCAGAACAGATCTTCTGGCAGGCTGGGCTGTATGAGCAGCAATTTGGCATCAGGATTGGAGGAAGATTCATTAGCAATCTGTGTTATGCAGATGACATATGCTTGCTGAAATGGAGGAGGATCTGAAGTGCTTGCTGCAGAAGGTCAAGGACTACAGCCTTCAATATGGATTGTATCTCAACATCAGGAAAACAGATTCTCACCATTAGGCTGATTGGCAGCCTCATGCTGAGGGGTGAAGAGACTGAGATTTTTAACAACTTTAGCTTGCTTAGCTCCACAATTAACACTCTTGGAACAGCAGCCAGGAAATTAAGAAACTAATTGCATTGAGAAAGTCTGCTGCCAGGGACCTCTCTAGAGGACTGAAGAGCAGTGATGTCAGTTTGGAGACTAGAGTGTGCCTGATCAAGGCCATAGTCTTCACAATTGCTTGCTATGCATCAGAGAGCTAGACAATTAGGAGGGATGATAGAAAGAGAATTGACGCCTTTGAGCTGTGGTGCTGGAGAAGAGTTTTGAATATAACATGGACTGCCAGGAGAACAAAAAGGTTTGTCTTAGAGAAGATGAAGCCAGCCTGCTCCTTGGAGGCAAGGTTCTGCAACTTCATCTGACATACGTTGAGTATGTTGGAAGGAGCGACCAGTCCTTGGAGAGGGACATCAGCTTGGAAGGGTGGAGGTACAGAGAGAGAGGGAGACCATTGATAAGATGGATTGATACAGTAACTAAAGTAATGAGGGTAGGTATATCAGAGAGAGTAAAGTTGGCATAGGATAGAACAGGTTCACAAGCAACTCGATGGCACATAACAACAACATTGGCCCAGTGGTGAGGATTTCTGTTTTGTTGATGTTGAGATGCAATCCATATTGAAGGCTGCAGTCTCTGATCTTCTGCAGCAAATGTTTCAAGTTCTTCTCAGTTTTTGGAGAGCAAGGTTTGACATCAGCATGATGTAGATTGTTGATGAGTCTTCCTACAGTCTTGATGCTATACTATCTTCTTTTTCATAAAGTTCAGCCTCTCTGTCACATGGAGTTGCAATCCCACCATAACAATACCTAAAACCAAGAGTCCAGAGTAAATTTTATTTCACTATTAGGACAATTTTTGTTTGCCCCTCTCTGTCACAATTTCTTCAATTATTTTTAAAATGTATTGTTACTTTTTAAAAATAATTGTCTTTTATGGTGTTTGGAACAAGGAAAGGTAAATAAATCAATGGAATAGCCAGAACTGAACTTGGGGTAATGTGGAATACAATTGTGAAAGACATGACAAAATGAAAATGTAATCAGGACAGGAGGAAGGAAAAGAAACTCATTATTCACATTCTCAGAATGTTTAAAAGATTTTCAGAATGGTTAAAAATGTGATCCCTTTACTTTGGGGCTTATTCCTTATATAAGACAGGGGCAACGTTTTAAATGTCACTTAGTTCGTATCTCCTCTCATATGAACCAGAAGGTCTCATTCACATTTTCTTCTCTTTCTCTCTCTCTCTCTCTCTCTCTCTCTCTCTCTCTCTCTCTCTCTCTCCCCCTCCCTCCCTCCCTTAAAACTGACTTCCAAAGTATTTGTCAAGTTACTCAGTAATAGAAGAATTAGACAGAAACAAACAAACAAACCAACTCAAGCCAGTTGTTATGAAGTTGATTCTAACTGCTGGAAACATCTTGCAAAAAAAAAAATACCTTCACAGAGTTTTCATGACTGAGACTATTATTCTGAGGTTTCTCTGGTAGGAAAGGGCAACATTTTGGTTAGCTGTTGAGTTCGTAACTGTTTGTACCATCCAGTGATTCCAACAAAAGAATAGGGCTAATAATGGCAACATGATAACAAATATGAGTATGATGATGAAGAAAAAAACTGAGCAGAGAACTTTATATGTATTTGTAAAGAAGAAGAATCTATGCCTCTGAATTGTTTAGTTGGAGATGAGTACTGAACATCCCACAACTGTCAAAAGAATAAACAAGTCTGCTTTGGAAAAAGTGCAAACAAGGTGCTCCTTAGAGGCAAGGAGACTGAAACTTTGTCTCATATACTATGGGTATGTTGTCAGGAGAGGCTGGACCTTGGATTGGGAGAGGTGGGGGATCGGAGAAAGAGAGGAAGATCCTTAACAAGGTGGATTGACACAATGACTGCAACAAAGGGCTCAAGTATCAGAGATGGTGAGGGTTAGGCAGGGTAGGGTAAGGCTCACATCTGCTTGTTTGCTTGGGTTTTCTTTCC